CATATATATATATATATACACACATATATATACATATATATATATGTATATATATATATATATATATACAGTGTTATACACTAGTATATTCTCCTGTACAATGGATGTTGCGTTGCGCGTGAATCGATGATAATCAGGATACACAGGTTTTTTTCGATTTTCACGACGAGCAATTTTTTCAGTCACTCCGCGAGTTTTCATACATGAATTTGTTTCATCGCCATCAGTATGAATATACCTCAGAAGACAGAAAACATAGTCCAGGCATATGCGATCCGCTCGTCGCCCATATATCCAGTGATTGCATAACTATACAACCTTTCTGCCCCACTCAGCTAAGTCTTTTGTATATACACAAAGACCAGTAACAGTAGGATGGTAGCACAAAGCAGAGGGTTACTGTATCGCTACTGCTTCAACAACTATGATGCGAATAAAGTCTTCAGCAGCCAGCAGGAGCAAGCAGACGTAAACAACGATACACTCAGAGGATCGCTGATAACGAAGACGACGAATTCAACAGAAGACGGCTGAGTAATGGTGCTCGTCTGGGCTGAATGGTGGCTCCGTTGTCCTCTATCGCTGTAGTCAGCGGTTTCATCCGTCTGTCTGCTATGGCGGGAAGCTGGGTAGTCGCCGCCTTGGTTATTTCTCCCCTGTAGTGGAAATCATAGCCAACAACAAAACGCCAACTGACTGGAGCCTACCAGTACCGTACATCAGGTCGAAATCTCCTGCGATGCTGCTATTGATGTCATCATTTATGTTCTTCCCCTCGTCGTCGTCGGCTTTGATGCGGCCGATCTTTCCCTCTAGAGTTTTCTGAATTAAAATGAAGTTCTATTCTGATAGAGTTCACATAGCCTGCAGGTGTCAACTGCTAATAAATAAACTAACCGACCCTTTTTCCGGGCGCGCGTATCTGTAATCGGCGTTTTTTCCCATATTGCCGAATAAATAGCTTTGAAAGCATACAGCCAAAGTAAGGTTCGTTTCTTAGATGGTTCATACATAAACGCAGCCGAAAAGAGGGATTTGACATGGAAAAGCACGATATTTGCCTATATTATATAAGTTAATGAGACAGGAAAAGGCGAACGAATATCCTAATTGTGTGTGTTAATATGTACTGCAAATAAAGTTTCTATGCATTGCGCAATGTCACATTGTTTATCGCTTCTTAAAAACCCCCTGACGACAACTTAGCAGACGGAGAGCCTTGCACTGTAGCTATTTACTGCCGACAACGATATAATATCGGAAATTGCTCTAACAATGCAAATATTGATGGCTCAGTCAATCATTTTAAATATTCTAATAATGCTACAAGTATCGACACTTGTTTCAGATAATTATTTGTGCTTGGGTATTTATTCATGGTTTTACATACTGATCGATGTACTTCCCGAGTAAAGGTAAATGTGTAAGTTCAGCTTAATGCTATTTTCGTGTACATGGTAATTGTTAAAGTTACTGCCGTCAGTTCTATTTTGGATTCGCAAAGTTGCTATGGATATTTCGTTGCGAATCTCAACCCGATTACAGCAAGCTATGTTGACGTGTAGCTTAAAGGCTACCCGCTGAGCTATGTGTTCATGGGCGCGCAAGCTCGCTCCGTGTCTGTACTCTCCCGTGTCGATATCACATTATGTATCAACTGCCAAGGCTCGATTTGACAAGTGGCCGCCTTGAGGGGTGTGTTTGAACTGTCTAACATACTGACACTGCTCTGTACTATTGGGTTTTCAGCGGCTCTGGCGACATACGAAGATTTGGACGGTGCGTGTGCACATGTGGCTTTGTGAGGGCTTATCGTGCAGTGAAATTATTTGGCGCCGACCGTAAAGGCGGCGGAGCGGATTACGGTATGTATATCCAGTGCACACACACGAGCGTCATCGGAGCAATGTCTGGAAACCGCGTCCGTGTTTGAGAGTCGAACGTGTCCATCTACAGAGCGCTCTTATCGAATGGAGTCGTGCGAGGGTGTGTAGTCGTTGGTGTGCCTGTTGAACGTCGTTCTCTTTTACGCATTTGCTGATTTCTCGTGACACAGCGATATCGCTTTGTGCTGCTGGCAAGCAGTAACCTTCCAACCTGCCTGTAAGAGTCAAGAACACGTTGAGTTGACGGTTTGTCAGGCTGTTGGTGATGGTCAAAATAAGGACAACTTCCATTTGACTAATCACGCTAAACGACAGTGTGTAAGTGGCGGCCTAGTGGCTGATAGGGTGAAGTGGCCTCCGGCACAGTGGAACAGGATACAACGAGTGACAGGACCCGGTTAATCACAGGGACTTCATTACCATGGATTCGCGGGGACGCAAAGTAATCGTGTGTGACAACGGAACCGGTTTTGTTAAATGCGGATACGCAGGATCGAATTTTCCTGCGTTTACTTTTCCGAGCCTTGTTGGTCGGCCAATTTTGCGTGCGTCGACAAAAGTTGGCGAAATGGAGGTTCGTCTTTTAAAGAATAATCACAGCGATATTAATCGTAATGACGATTTGGAAAAATCAACTATGAAATCTAAGTAGCTAGTTAAATGAGTGTAAAAAAAACTATCAGCATTGAGTTTGCTATCCGTATGAGGTAGTGTAGTCGAGAATAGTCGTTCCTTTTTTTTTGGATAAATTTCTGTGTTTATACTCGTCCTTAAGGAAACGCATAGCCTAGAGCTAATGTTAAATTTCAATTCCACAAACAAAATTATTCTTCGCGTATACGGAGTGCTGTAGGCTTGGATGCAAATCTGCGTTAATATTATCAATGGTTATGTTGGATTAAGTATAAACGAAGATTAGATAATACAACAGTTATCCTTTACTTTTTACACTGCAACGTTTGTCGCCGTAAATGAGCAGTTCCGTAAAAAGCTTATGCATGTAAGCATTTGAGCACATGTGAACTTGACTTGGAGCGAATATAACGTACGCGGATGGAGGCGGCGATCCAATCTGACGGTAGGGCACCGTAAAACTGGACACGCTGTCAACGTTTTGTAGCACGATGCTCGCATGGTTCCGTTTCTCTAAGTCGGTGGGGAAACTGCTCTAAAGAAGAACTTAGACAGAATCGAATCCCCACAGAACGGCGAATATTGTTTATTGATATACCTTGTTATTGAGCAGTATAACTAGCGTGTCGTATTATTCTTTGCTCGCATCGCTGACTCATCCAGCTGTTGTGGCACGCGTAAATGGAAAACCTGAATAGGCCATAGCCAAGAAAAAACGTCTTATTATTTTTAGTATCTCCAAAGTTAAGTCAACACTTCTTACAAATAAAATTGAATAAAAAATATTCTATGGTATTTGTGAACATTAGTACTATTATTCTTATTCGTTACCCCTCACAGAAAATATTACTGCATTTAATTCTATTCCATTCAATATATTTTGACCTAAATGTACTTTGCTTTACAATAGTTTATAATAATAATAATGAGGATACTATTGTAATCCTATAAAAAAAACAGGTTCAAAAATGGATTATTAAAGTGCAGGACGTTCAAAACCCGAACTTTCATAATACGATAACGTATTCCATGGACACTTTTGAAAAAGGCTTTTTGAAAAATGTTTGATGTAGACAAAAAAAAATTTCTCTAGATTTTTTCCAAAGTCTTTAGGACAATGGTCAATATTGCAGTAAATCTGTATTTTCAATGTTTTAGAACTACTTTTTTGTATCTGTAATGTTACCATACTTAAACAGAACTATAATGTATATACTACTTTCAAAGGTTTGAATTGAGTTTGCGTAAACATAAATCTACGAAATATCATTTACGAGTGAGCTCGAAGGACTGGCTTTCGCAATGCACTTTAAATATGCCGCATTTGTAAACAACGTAGGGCCCAAAACCTATATTATTACTAATATTATCGTTGTTGAAGGTATTTCGATAGCTTCTCAGGCGATTCGACGATGAAACCGTAAAACTGTGCCTACTTATTGAGCAGACTACTCAGCCTGTGAAGATAATATTAAGCTGGAAGCAGCACTAGAGCCCGCGTTCTACACGATTATTGATTTCCTAATGTTGCTATTTAGAGCTATTTTTGTGTTGCTCTTTTAAACTTTATACTTTAGGTGAAAGATCTGATGATCGGGGACGAAGCATCGAAGCTTCGTTCAATGCTGGAAGTAAATTACCCAATGGAGAACGGAATGGTAGGTAAATTTGGTAAAAATAAATGTATTTTAAATAAAAATGATCTTAGTTCTAGATGCTAGATTTAGATATATGGCGCAGAAGGATCTATTGTGAGCAACTAAATGTGAACCAGGGTCCAGCAAGTTTGAGTTCAGTATTTGTCACCTTCTTTTCTCCCTTCGGTAGCCTTTAAAAAAGGGCTTGATGTATTAAACTGTTTTACACTCTTTGACAGGTACGAAATTGGGAGGATATGATGCACGTGTGGGACTATACATTTGGCGAAACAAAAATGAATATCAATCCTATGGAATGCAAGATCCTTTTAACCGAACCCCCGATGAATCCATTAAAGAATCGAGAGAAAATGATCGAGGTCATGTTTGAACACTATGGCTTTGATGCTGCATACATTTCCATTCAAGCTGTTTTAACACTCTACGCGCAGGGTCTATATACAGGTTAGTGGGGAAAGAACACAATATAGATAAAATCAAATTAAGAAACCTGTATGTTTTTGGGTTACTACGGATGCGCATTTCATTCTAACATTTTCCGTATGCATCTTTATCGTGATATACGTGCTTAGTACCATATTTATATATATATATATATATATATGTATATCAATATGTATAATCATTTACTTTGTGTGCGTACGCTTGTACACTTTCAGGCGTTGTGGTGGATTCTGGAGACGGCGTAACGCACATTTGCCCTGTATTCGAAGGTTACGCGTTGCCTCATCTCACGAAAAGGCTGGACATTGCCGGCAGAGATATCACCCGTTACCTCATCAAATTATTGTTGCTCAGAGGTACATTAAACATTATGAAGTTACTCTGAATAAAAAACACATTTTAGCCAGTACCAGTTTTTATGGTGACTCTGAATGTGGCAGAAATTAGTATTGTGAGCACTTTCTTTTCGCCAGGGGTTTTTACCGCGATGTTAGATTTGGAGGGTACTCTGTAATTCGTATTTATGATATTCGCATGTAGTCACTCTCAGATCAAATTAAAGACCGTTCGAATAGATTTGGTGTATTAACGTGTAACACATACATACACCTCTGTCTTAGGTAACGTTAGTGTAATTAGCAATGTAATATTTTGAAACTATCTCAACGTATTTATAAACCGACGCTTGAATGATCCATTATGTTATAGTCGATAAATTGATAACTCACACATATAACGAGTTGACAAGAACAGTTGGTAATAACAGACGAGAACTGAATGTGTGTGGTCGTAATACGGGTTACGTGATTACAAAGTTAATATAATCGTTGCTTTAATATCGGTGCCGGAAATTTGTAGGTTATGTTTTCAACCAATCAGCAGACTTCGAGACGGTCCGAATGATGAAAGAGAAACTCTGCTACGTCTCGTACAATGTTGAGTTAGAACAGAAGCTTGCACTCGAAACAACGTTCCTTGTCGAACCCTATACCCTTCCAGGTGAGTCTTTGTTCTTAGATCACTTTTGTCTAGACAATTGACTGTCGTGAACGCACATGTGTTTAACAATTTTATAGTTATGCAAACTTAAAAGCTTACGGCATTCTTAGAAATCTAAAATGTCTCGTCCTGCCACATAGTCAGCATGAGATCGCTAAATATATCTAATCGAAACAAAGTGGACAACACGAAACAAACAAGATCTCAGTTATAGTTTAATTACAGTGCTATTTTCAACGTTCAGCTTTATTTTTTTTCATAAATTAAATGAAGGAAATGATTTGAAAAGGGTAACTAGAAGGTTAAATGGCCTGAAAGGAAGGCTGGGGGGGGGATTATCGCACTCTGGAGATGTAAAAACTAGATGGTTTAGATGTGATGGTAAACTAGGGATGAAAGCTGATCAAAACTAAAAAAGAAAACAGCCGAAAAGTGGTAGCAGGTGATGGTTGTGTATTACGTCTCGAATGGTGTAATTAACTGTCTTCTAGATGCTGACATCACTATACGTATTTCATTTGGATTCTTATGAAAGGGTGACCTGAATGCCCATCTGATAGATACGTTTCTTAATTTGCAACGAGTATGGTTACAGTTAGCAATTCATTATGGCTGCGTTTGATATGTAATTCCACGCATAATTAAAATTTGAGCCCAATAAATATTTAAATAATGTAAAAGCCTATGTTACGTGGTCGACAATTTTGAAAAAATCTGGAGAGGAAGGAGTACGACACTTACAAAAAGTTCGAAGGTCTTGAAAATATTCGATAGTTTCAGAGATTTCAGCAGCTTTGTAAAATCACCGTGCCTTTCAGTAGAAATCTTAATAGGCTTAAGTGTACATTTGTCTGTTACTATGATGTGTGTTGTTAATTTTAGCCGACGTTTGACTTAAATGGTATTCATCGAAATTTTGCCATAGCTGTTTGCAATGGCTGTTCTCATAATTAACTATATTCGCAAAAGCATATTGAAATGTGTCCTTCTCCACAAAAAGCATGACAGGACGATGGAACCAGTCCTACACAAATGCTAAGCAAATAATATGTTCTATTTTGTGAGCTAAAATTCATATTCTGCGACTACTTGGGAAGCGGGTCGGTATTTTTGTTGTTTGATTACAACTATCTTGAAATACATTCGCTTAATTTCAACTGTGTCTGGATTTGGTAAATTCTTTTATAATAAACCAAAATGAAATGACATTTTCGGCATAAACATTCATTTAAAACGATCTTCTTTATTAACATGATTAGACATAGATAAACGAAGTGAACCGTTACATATAGAATGCATACTGAATTGAGAACAGCTGGCACTAAAGTGGGCCTATACGATGAGGTCCCGAGTAGTGTTCACTACCGTTTCTGCATCATTAAAAGCCGTTGTCGCTGATTTGCTCACATATGTTAATACGATCATCGCAAAATAGAAACGCACTAATGTGGTTCTTAAAACAAGGAAATGAACCATGAATATTCCTTAAAAGAAAGCCAGCATGACCCTTACAGCGTGGTCGTGAATAAATCAGCTGATCTATAATGATCTTGAAATATAGCAATCTACTAAAAGTAAAATGCCTTATTTACTTATAATGTCACAAATGTGTTATATATACATGTGGAAATCCATTACATCGCAAATATGTCATAACTATAACCTCGAAAAGGTAAGACGAAACGCTTATTCTCATGTAGATACTGTAGCGTTGTATACTGCAGACATATTTTAAAATGCGTGTACGTAATTTAAATGACCTGTTACAGCAAAAAAAAAGAAATGGAAATCAAAAATAATAAGTCTTTAATTAAATGATGGTTACCGTTTGTTTTGGACCCTCTAACGCTCCTTTCAGATGGTAGACAAATTAAATTGGGCGCGGAACGTTTTGAGGCCCCGGAGGCACTTTTCCAGCCTCATCTGGTCAATGTTGAAGGACAAGGTATCGCTGAGCTAGTGTTTAACACTATCCAAAATGCAGATCTCGATATGCGAATGGAGATGTACAAACACATCGTCCTCTCAGGCGGTTCTACAATGTATCCTGGACTACCGTCAAGACTTGAAAGGGAAATCAAGCAGCTCTACCTTGAACGAGTACTTAAGGGTAAATTATCGTCACAACTGTTCTATGTTTAAGAAACCAGAAGGTAATATAACGTTAATGTAAACTCAAGAACTACAAAACAAGAAGTCTAAGGTTTCGAAGTTACTTTCACGCCATCCTGCTGGATACAAATTTTGAACCAAGCGTGTTTTCCAAAAATTCTCTTTTTTTGCATTAACCGCTATTTTGCTTGTTATTTTCTCAGGCGATGCGGAGAAACTGAAAAAATTCAAAATTCGGATTGAGGACCCGCCAAGCCGGAAGGATATGGTCTTTATCGGTGGATCTGTGCTCGCCGATGTTACTAAGAACAACGAGGATTTTTGGATCTCGCGAAAAGAGTTTAAGGAAAAAGGACCCAAGGTTCTTGACCGACTCGGTCATAGGCCTTCGTAGTTGCTCACCGGCAATTATGCTACAATAAGCGAAATACAATGGTGAACAAGATTATGAGCAATCTGTAAAACGTAACAACGTGGGTAACCGAAAAAGGCATGCTGGACGAAGCAGGCTCGAAGAGATTCACAAGGCTACTACAGATAAGGATGAAAGGTCCAGAAGGGTCCATATTTACTCATGTGTTTCTGACTCTAACAAGGGGATGAGCAAATGTGTCGGTCATATTTGTATGTGCAATGAATATATGGTGAAACAATGTAGTTTGTAACAATGTAGAACAGACAAAGGGAACGGAACAATGTGAGACGGAAGAATATGCTAATTAAAATAATCTTTCTTTATGGCATAGACATACTGGTGGAGCGGACTTGCGTAAAGCAGCGGTAACGGTAAAAATTAAATTTATAGTAATTTTTAACAACAACAGTAGTAGTCATCGTTTTCGTTATCGATTAATTCCAAAAATAAATTGAAGAAAAAGTGTAAAACTACGCAAAATCTACCCTATTAACATTGTAAAAATGGGGCTACATGACATAACGACTGATAATGAGGTATTGTAGATAGTATAGTGTCGCGAGCCGCGGATTTATAATGATTATGATGATTATAGCATTTTTCTGAGCTAAAAATAACAGGTGAAGTAAAGCAAGCCATACTAAACATAAAATAATGCATTAATAAAATTAATAACATAAGGAAAAAATAAAGATATGGTCATAGGTAAAATAAAACCAATGAACTGCCAATCAACTGGAATTTCATTCATTCCATTTATTAGTAATTTATATTGTAATAACTATTTAGTAATAATATCGTTATCATATTTTAAGCTCCGAACGTTTTTATTGTTGTGCATAGCATAAACTACGACTATAATGTGACTAGGATAATATAATGACGCATTGTATGAAGATATAGCAAAAAACGTAAAAAGCCGTCAATATATCGTATTATATACATTTAGCACGAAATACAAACAGATCGTTACGTTTGTTGGTTCTTCTTGCGGTGAAATGTTTTTAGATCGTACCCACACATTGACAGAGCAACACATTGACTGAGTTGCATTTGACTCCGTTTTTACTAACTCGTTTTAATTTTTTTTTGTTTTTTTTATGAATTAAAATACACGAGTCCATGCTATATTAAGTCATCAGTCAGTGGGAGTAATACGATGTGTTACCGATAATACAAAAACAAAATCGCTATTAGTAGTCATCGAATTCAAATGTATTTCGAAGTCACGTTATGATCCTTTCCATACATACACAGACACGGATCAACACATGCTCGCGTTCACACGCGCTCACATACGCACGCACACACATATATCGTCGAAATTAAATTCGTGTCAATGTGTCTATGCACTTGGTGAGCAAAAAAGAGTGTCCTGAAGAGCCAGGACCATCGTACACTACTTCGTAACGAATTTATAGAGGCTGAGATCACCCTGCTGTCATTTCCAATAAAGATCTTTTAGATGGTAGTTTTTCAACAACACGGATATATATTCTACACAGATTGAGATCGAGAGGGAGTAAAAATAGAACATAAGGCTTTGTATTTACCGTCAATTCAAATCAAAACGTGGACCTTTTCCAAACATAATACTCGAGCTCAAAACGAATTAGTCCAACTTTTTATGGTAGATTAATTAGGAAATGACAATACTGGAACTGAGCGTGAGCAAAAATCTGAAAAATCATAATAAGTGTAAAAAAAAGACGCAGAAAATATGTATAATGTTAATAAGCGATTATGTATTGTGCAGACATTATTATGAATAGGATGGATAATAATGAACGCAACCTGCCTTCAACGTCTGCTTACGAAATTCGCTTTGCAGTATTCTGCGTACAAGTGGCATAATTGATAACTCATTGATTAAAACTTATAATTACATATATAGTTATAATGGGGAGCAAGTAAGCAAGCTAAATCGCAATCAGTAATACCGAGTGGGAAAGGCAGTCTGTTTTTAAAATATTGAAAAAGGAAATAGAGGGAATAGATGAAATGCCAATAGTCGCCCGATGAGACCCGCAGCAACCCAAACGATTTACGTCCTCACGTAATAGCACAGCTAGCTGAAAAGAGTTTTAGATCAAGAAATTGATGATTTGATACAAGAACTAAATAGAAATTGATGTAAATGTACCGCTGTCGAGTGCACACTTGAAAGCACACTAACAAGGTCTACAGTGTTAAAGGAACAGAGAAACAGAAAATAAAATTATTCTATAAGTTGTATTTCAAACGAGTAGTAGTTGTTAATCCTTATTGTAGACCGGACGCTTCAGATAAGCCACCGATTTCAAAAGCAAAGGCGCTCATTGGTTATAGAGTAAACAGCGAACCGATTAAGCGAGCAGTTCTCTTAAATGTAACGTAACTTTCTTGGTTTATTACTCTAGCACAAAGATGAACGATACAGGTCTTCATTCTAACAGTAAGGCCAGTAAAAATTGGCTTTCACTTTTGTCTACGAAATCATCGTCCTTTCATTTTTTAAGAAACCGAGGACTCGACGAGTATGATCATTCTCTAGAATAACTCTAGAACTGAATAGAATGAGTATGAAATCTCTAGAAAAATATTAAATAATTACCAGATCACAGGCTGATGTATTAAAAAAATGGCCGTAGTAATATTATAATTTTTTTTTTCAATTGATTTAATTATTAGCTTTTTTTATTTCTGAATGCATGTGATGGTCGTAGTAATTGTTTCTGTAGTGAAAATCTTACTAAAAATAGCAAGACCACTTTATTTTTTAAACTCTCGTAGAATATTGCAATCTACGAACAGTATTTTTAGTATCAATCCCATTTGACCTTTTAAGGCGAGGGTAAATCTCATTCATTCGGAATGAAAAATGCTATGTCTGTAATACCCTAAAATGTACAAACAGCATGACATATATATCTATTTTGATGTACGTCCACATATATTCTTAGATCTACTGTGGACTGATCAATCCAGACCTCATCTTTGTACACTTCTTTGGTGCTTTATGTTGGAAACGCTGACAAAAAAAACATGATTTTATTAGAATAATAGCTTGCGAATCGTCTTTCTACGTGTAAATTGCGAAAGCTACCATGGCCTTTAAAGTCTTGTCGATATCCGACTTAGAGGAGTTTGTGCAGTATGACCCAGATTAGTAGACCGGGTGGATCTCGTCGTGAGTAGTAGTTATTCGACGCGGGCGATTCAGCGGTTTTATGTCAGCCACTGTCCTGAGTTTCGTCACGTACTATCCGGTTTCAGTTGTTTGCTCTTTATCGTTGACAATTAACCTAAACGGTGTTTGTTCTCCTGTTGTTTTCGATCAAAAACGATCATTTTAAAAGTCATCTCTGTCACTGCAGAAATACGTAAAACCATGTTCGAACTTTACTCGCTTTAAAGGGCAATGGACCGCACTTAGAATTGCCGCCACCTACCGGGTGGCAGCAAATGCACTATGGCTAACCATTATTCTAAAGGCCTTTAAAGAAGCGTTCGAGCAATGCAGAGGGACTCAAAGTTGAATAAACTATGCCAATCATCTGCACAAAGGATCTGAGTACAGTTGTTATAGTCCGAGGACATCGGAGGCGTGTCCATCTACCAGATAGGTATAGAGGTTCTACGTTGGAAGAGGTGCTTTTAGCCGGAGAATATCTTAAAATCATTGGTACAGTCAGGATGTTTTGTATCTCGTGAAAAGTAATTGTTGCGACCTATCATATATATGCCCACTTTAGAATAGAATCTACGCTTTCGGTCATTGTTCCTGCGTGAACAAGTCTTCATTCAACATTTCCTTTGTAGTAGAGCATTAAGGACTTATCCCCACGAGGTAGTCTAGACGGTCAAGTTTCGCTGGACTTCTCAGAAAAAAGGTAGTTAAGGTAGGTAAAGTGTTTATCACTTCAGAATCTTATTTTTATTTTTCCATTTCGTGCTTCGTGAGTTAACTTTTACCCGAATGGCTGTGTGCTGAACCTTACACTGCTCACGTCGATCGTTTCCAATAAGGACCGCCCGTGGAATACAACAATGGCTCAACACAACGTGAAGATTTCGACAGTGTTATACTTTGCTGTTGTGCATTGCCTCTGTTCGACACAAATCAAAGGCGCGATGGCACAAAGAATCGAATAGGTTTAGGGACTGTCACGTTGGCGGCAGCAGCGGCGGCCGAAGAAGATGCAATTGTGCTTAGACAACTTTGACTAAACTCTATCTATAGCATCATCATTCAGGAACCTCTTCAACGTCGTTCGGTTATTTGGTCGACATAGGGCTAGGTTGTTTTTTCCTGATCAAATATCGTTTTATGGATTTTAGCCTAGTCCCCGCGGGGGTGGCCAAAGAAGCCGTATGTCACTAAGCGTAAACGACATTCTTTACACGTTGAAATCCTGAATGACTAACAGAGCCAACTTGTAGGTGGACGTTGGTCTTCCATTAATAGCATATATTCAGCTGATATGGATAATTAGAGGCAAAAGTAATCGTCTGTCACAACGGCTCTAGTTTTGTCAAGTGCGGATATGTAGGTTCAAATTTTCCCGCCTTCGTGTTTGCTAGTATTATGGGTCGTCCAATTCTGCGAGTGTCCACTCGAGTTGGCGGCAAAGAGGTTTGTATTGATTCATCGGTACTGTTCAGACCCGTAGAAAATACTAGAATATCCGCAAGTCGTTTCAATTGATCTTTCACGAAGTCGAGGTATATACTGAAATGACGAACCATACATGCTTATTGTGCTGGCCATATAATTAAAGCAAAGCATGCGTACCAAGGAGATTGCAGGCACCCAGTGAGCAACTATTTGTTTATAACAGCATCCGTACTTTTTCAAGATTGCCTTTGTGCTTTCCCATATAAACATATAAATGAAATATAAAAGAAAAGTGATCCAGCTGCTGCTTTCATACTCATTGGCATTGTAATCGGCAAATAAATGACTGATATAATTCGCAAGTGGTTTCTAACTATTTATCACGTGCAGTGCATCTGTTTGCGAAGGTATCAGTAATATCTCTCATCATAACACTTATTGTCGGCAATATATCGACATTTATCGGGCGCATACTGTGCAAAATTAATCCGAAACTTCTCTTTTTTGTTTTGTCATTTGACGACTCTAGACGCTACTTCAATTCGAAGTGAAAATGCTTAGCTACGGATTACAATGTTTGGTCGAAGTGTACAGTCGAACAAATCTACTAAAAGTTTCGAGAATCGACTACTAATATCGGCACAAATACGCATCGTAACTTATCATGGTGAGCACAACTGCGTCGTAAATCGTTTCATGCACCGATAGTCCACACAGGTTTATTTTACTGGAGTCCGATTTTAGCTGTTTGAGTGAATCATACATTTCGCTTTATTTGAACAATGGGAATTTCCCATTTCAGGTTTGATGCTTGAAGATGAAGCTTCCGAATTTCGATCAACGATGGATATAGGATACCCAATGGAAAATGGCACGATAGCAGAGCAGAGACATCTGGGTTAACACGCGTATTCCCTGAGGACCAATGCTGAAAATTTCCTACGTGTGGCAATAATACCCGCTGCAGACTGACTAAGGAATACATTGTCGCTCTAGTTTTTCAAGATATACCGAGTAACCGGAAAAAGCCGTTTAAAGCTATTTTCGGTCACAATCAACTGTCTGTTGTCGTCGTCGTCATATGTTCTAAACAATGGGCATTCAGGCAAAAATATCAATGGCAAGGCTATTGGTTGAGACTTAATGAGCTATAAAAGCGTTTGATATTCTACAAAGGCAGGATCAAGGATGTTTCGTAAAAGCTTTTACGTATATCATCTGTCGCTATGCACTTACTATCATGCATAATAAATTGTAAGTTGTTTAACAAAGTTGAGCAATAATGAAACATGACAAGGTAACTAGTAACTCAGTAAAATCAAATAACAAATATTATGAAGTTATATAGTGAAGCATGAGATTATAAACTGTTACTGGTTTAATTATGGCAATGACAGGTGCGTAATTGTCATTACTACTACACGTTTGGATCTGAGAAAATGAACTTCGACCGAGGAACCGCAAAATCCTTTTGATTGAACTCGCAATGAACCCTATCAAGCACAGGGAGAAAATATTCGAGCTGATGTTTGGCCATAACCCGCTCAATGCAACGTACCTCTCTGTACAAGTTGTTTTCATACTGTGGGCGCAATGCCTAAATATCGATACGTGAGGCCAAAAGAAGCTTAGCATAGATGTGTTCAACTATTGATTGTCAAGCTCAAGTGGTAAAGTCGGAAAGTCAGCGTGTTTCGTACAATTCAGCTTTATAGTTACAACTTTTTTTGAAGATTTAAAGTAAATAAGTAAAAAGTGCCTAAAAGAAGAAAAAGAAATATTATGTATTATTTTGTTACAAATATAAAATATTTTCAGATCGATACAAGATTATCAGGTTGCGGAATGAATTTTGACGATTTTTGTTATTGTTCCCCGTTCTAAACATTCTTTCTAGTGAAGGTGAAAATTTTGTAGAGATTTTGAGTTAGATGTGATCGGTGCTTTGTACGTATTACAAAAACTACTCCTAACTTGAGCTCCAAAATTTATATATTAACTTCTATAGAATCTATAACTTCTTCCTCGGACCCAACAATCGGCTCGCTTTGGTGAAAAACCGCAGATGACAAATTGGGCACAAAAACTGCTAGGGCACAAAATAAGGGTATGAAAAACCTCACATATAACATTTACTTCATAGCCAAAACTCGAAACAAAATATTGTTTCGAATGCTCTATAGAACAGACTCATAGTGCAGAATAAAGCTTATCGACGGTGATCATCGAACGGCACAAGTTGGAAAGGAAACCAAGAGAGTAATTTATATGACAAGCTAGCGTTATTTCTAAAGTGTTTGCACAGTTTGCGTATGCTAATACTTGTGGAATCTTTTAGGAATCGTTGTGTGTTCAGACGATGGTGTGAGATACATTTCCACTTCCACTTTTTTTTTTTTTTTTGGCTTTTGACCACTTCATCTCACTAAACGCTTGGATATCGCCAACAGAGGCATTACCGGCTTACCTAACCAGTTTACTGCTACTCAGAGATAAATATAATAAATATAATAAATATAAATACAACTCATGGGTTTACTTTTGTACTACTTCGTAAAATAATGTTGATGTCGGACTGTATGAGCATTCATTACAAATCAGGTTTTGTTGGCGGGCCTCATCCCATGCGTGTTCTGTCAGATTTTACTCTTCCATGACTCCGAGGAGTGCGATGCCTGCCTTCTTACGATCACTGAAGCTAAAATTGCCCAATAAGCGTGTTTTTTATTGCACGCGGATGCAACGCTTTTCTGTGGGCAGAAAGCAGCTGATTGAAACTTTATAAAGATAGTCAGATTGCGCAAGTTACTGGGTAAACTCGTGCCGTCATCCTAAAGGCTTGTTCATTTCGAATTTTTCGCCTCCAAATTGCGCAGTCACCGCACAGTAAACTTCTCATTCAGTATTACTGTGAGTTATTAGTACTATTATCAATATCTGAAACATTTTTTTAACAATATATCTTTAAATTTTTATTATTATCTAGGCGATAGCATTTTTCTTTAGGCTACACGTTTATGCAGTACGCAGACCTCAAAACGGCTCGAGTGACTGAAGGGAGATTGATACCGAATAGAAGTAGAAACTTGCGTTTGAAACGATATTTTTTGTTGAGGAGTACGCTTTGCCAGATCATTTCTTAGCAAGAACCTGTGGACCTTCTTGCTAAGGAAGAGCGATTGCCCTGGCTACCACAAACATGAACCTTATATTAATAAAAAGCATTTTAAGTGTTCACAAAAGTATCAGCACAAATTTTTTGGACGTTAAAAAGTAGCGTTAAAAAATCACGCGCGCCTACCATTCCTAGCATGAAACAAATGATTCGAATTCTGATTTTGGCAATAATCACTCACATTACGGCAAAAGGAGAGGGAAAAAAAACAGTGAAAAACATCGTTCATACATTTTGACTTTGCTACGGATCCAAGTAGGGTTTTTTGCGTAATGTGTCTCAACACCACGTTGCAGCTACGGGAAGTTCTCCTCGATCCTGTGTGACTGCAACATCAGCAGCATATGCAACTTAAAGTCCATATAACAGCATCCCTTTATCTAATGGTACCACGCAATCGGCCATAATTCAGTCAAATTTATTCACTTTTTTTCAATAGGTTAAAAAAATCATTGTAAAAATTTTAAATATATATTCGTAATGGCAAGATAAAAAATATTACCTTTTTTAGATAGTTATTGGAGCAATTCAGTGCCATCTATATATTCTATTTCATAGTCAAGAATACTATAAGGTAACTAGTGATTCAAGGATTATGTTGGATAAGCTGAGCTTATCCGTAGAATTGTACTCGCCTCAACGATTTCAAACACAGACTAGAAGGCCAATGTTGATTCGAGCTCGATGTTATGTATTACCGATTGTATATGCTTTATTCGATCGCTATATTAAGATTCTACATTAAAGATACACATACAATCATGCATATACATGTAGTATGTTTAGCCATCGTGTGTATATATATATATATGTGTACATAGTCAAAAATGTACAGAACAATAAGTGTTTATTTAATTGTCCCGATTCAAGTTATCCCCTTTGAAGCAATTTCAGCCGGATGCGGCACACCTATATCATGGTTTTCTCCGGTTTCAAAATACTTCAACCTTAGACGTCGGGATAACTCTCAAGGCGGCTAACAATTTTTCTTTTACCTCTTTTATCGAGTCGAAACGTTGCCATTCAGGCTTTTTTCCTTTAGTTTTGTGAATAGGAAAAAATTTCAAGAGGCTAGCTCCGGTAATACGGGGGTTGAAGCGATGCGCCCATAGAGTTTTTTGAAAAAACTGCTGCATTCGTGTGTGATAAGGAGTCAGGACTTCTTTTGCTACAGCCTTAGTCATGAACCTGGCACTGATCGAACAGATTCGTACAATCTTTCGAAACTGCTTGATTGTACTCCTTGGTAACCGTGGAATTGGACGGCGTGAACTCATGACAAACGATTCTCTGACGGTCGAAAATAACCGTGAGGAGCACCTTAGTTCTCCTTTGCGATCTCTTTCACAGGTCTTCCACGATGAGGATCGTCCTTAGTAGTCCTGCAATAGTCCACAAATTGTCTGTTGGGTTGATTTTATTTTTCACACAAATCCCGATTCACGTTTGTTACTCCATTTGGAAAAATCTCACAGCTCGCAAAACACCTATTTACTTATTAACCGGAAAAAAGTTGAGACTGCATCATATTGTCGTGAAATTCACCTGCATAGAGGAGTTCTGCTCGTTATGCCAAACGAACGCAGATCCTCTTTTCTTAGCATGCTCCTAAGCGTCAATGGTGGTATTACGTTCACGACCTTCCAATCCTAATGAAATAAAAGTCATACGATAGGCTACCTCCCGCCATGAAGGCCTCAGTTCAGCATCTCTTGCCAGGTGCCTTGCGCGAGCTTTCAGCTGTCGTGATATTATTGCGGTATTGGATTCCAATGATGTCACGTATTGTTTCAGCATTCACACTTGATACCGTCCATCACCCAATTTTTAAATCGACTGGCAATGGTAGCAATATCCGCTGCCTGATCGAGTTTCTTTGGTAGCACGCCTAGAAACGCCCGAATAAAGAATGGCTTTAAATTAGGCGCTGCTATTAGCGGCGCCACTGCACTAGTTCTAATTCTGATCGGTCACAGTGTGCCATCGGCCGATTCGTGCCGGTAAGCATCCCATACATGAAGCGAATATGACATATTCAAGAACAGTTCGACTATTTAAGCTTTACCAACTCGCTTGGCCGGGCCATTTTACGGCAGGAAGCCCACGGCTATCGTGTAAACCATCAACGCTAAAAATATGATCTTCTGCTCCTACCTTATCTTGCCACAGGCCAAAGATGAACAAAAGCTAGCCAGAGCCGCCTCGATAATTAGTATTCGAGCACAGCAACTTGTATCCAAGAATCTGTAGCAGTAAAATATTGGCGAACAAAAAAAAATTTAATTATAAACCATTCTATAGTAGAAATAGGTTGCGTTTTCTACATGACTAGCTTCATGGACCTCTACGTGACCTGTAGGTAACGCAGATCCTTGCCACTGTCCCCTTCCATTCCAGTCGTATTGCCTATTGCGCAGACGTATAGTAGCACACTGTTCGACGGGCAGTTTTCACATCGCATACCTTCTCTACATTTCGTAGAACAATAATCCCATCTCAAACAACACAGACGTAAGCCCTTGTAGCTAGCTATTTACCTTCGTTCTTCAGCAGAATAAGAAATAGTACACATCGTCTACTATGACCGGCCTCTCAAAATAAGTACTCACCAGAACTCGCAACCTCAGTACCGTTGTCAGTATGGTTATTTTGTGTGATGGCACCGATTTGTGCACTGCTCCGATCAAGTTCATTCCGACCATGAATGTTTTTGCGGCCCTTACGATCGCGTGCACCGCCATCCAGCGGGCGCTGGGAACTAGTGTACACAAACATTAACGACCCTTGTGGATACCTGGCTTTTTTGTTGGTTTGACTCTATTGCTAAGCAGAAGCATGTGTCTTACGCGGCAAATGCAAACCTCGCTGGCAATACTTGAACGTCGTCCAGGTTTGTGCAACCGATCCACAGGCAATTCCGTAATTAGTCGTCAAAGCCTCCACATAGAGACGTAGCAGCTATCGTATGAATACACATCTTCGATGCGAATTTAAACAACGATTCATCCGGTATTGCACGCAATAATCTAATATTGGATCGGAGCGAATATCTTGCAAACTGACCTTCGAAGTTCGTCAATGACCAGATACGACAGATTCGATAAGTTCCAGAACGTGACATAACAAAAATGTTGTTGCCCTTATATCGGTTGACTTTGCCGTCAATGTGTAATAATAAGGTAATAAGTTTCTATAATCTATTCCTCACCATTTGACTCGTTAGTAGCTTGCGCCATGCCTATTGGCAGTTTCTAGCTAGTCAGCTAGCTACCAATCTGTTCGATACTGCCGTGTTCAGTGGGCAATTGCCGATATAGTAAATCATTTTCCATTTAACACATGGCCTGCCGTATGCACCTACAAATTTATCCTGATTGCACCAGAATGCCCGCTATCTTACGGCACGCTTATATGTTGTACGGTGTTTTATTCATCAAGATGTCATCAAAACTTCAAACATTATGGTAGATGCATTCGTCATGCATTTTACAGGGGGTGGATCGTAGATTTACACCCGATGCAAACGTCACTTATCGCAAACTGCACGCTTCGCATCATCAACTTTCTTTCATTGTGCCCCAAAGTGAAAACCAAGTATTAGAGTCGGTTTTCTGGAAGAACCTTTTCATTGGGGGTAGATATATGGGCGCAGATTGTCAAATTTTAGTTATAAGAACTACGAGTATATCTTGAAGAAAAATCCCTTGAGAGAAAATGTCAATCAGTTTTCTTTTATTCTGATCAAACTTTATTAGATAAAATTATGACTTTGTCAAGTAGAATTTCGCAAGTATAACAACGCCAAATGCTTGTGATCTCTAACCTTAAAATTCAGAAAGTCGTTCAATACTGCGCTGTGTATACTCGCTCTGCTAATGGTATAGGAAATAGACCCTTTACTTTGTTGCTCGCGAAGTAACTACCGCTACCGCTGCAACCACTGCAAAGTTGAGAGAAGTTGCTTGAACCATTTATATTTAGTTATCATGCGGTCCTATTTCTTTACTTCATAACATACATAACCAAGTACAAGTCATAACAGTGAGCTGTTGTTTCAAGGTTATTTGATTCAGCATGTGGATCAATTGATCTAAACTGTATTTAGTATTTAAATCGTGCGCTAATTGACCATTTTATATTCGCCTAGTTACTGAAATGATTCACCAGGCCAATGGATTCGTGTTTTTAAGTTAAACTTCTGTTTAAAATAGCTTTCTAGCTTCATGTAGATTAAGCAGCTCGACAATGATCAAATCATCAAGATAACAGGGTGCTTACTAGGTGAAATTATTAGTTCATAGATTTTTTTTAGCGATGGTTAATTTATCTTTTAGATAGCCTATTAATTAGGACATACGCAGGGCGATTCAAAACGCTTCAAGTGCCCATCCAACCCATTCTGATCGATATCGAAGCCCCGATTATAGTTGAAATGGTGTAGAATAGGACCCGAAATTTCGATATGTGTCTTGCTTTCGATATGCGGCGGCCCTACAATGGACCCTGGTCTGCCATTAAGGCTCAGAAGGGAACAAATCAGGTGAGAGGTGGTAATTAATTTACTGTGTTGCCTGTCAGGATAATACTGCCCCAGATTTAAGTCGTAGACCAACACTATCAGAAGCACCTCTATTTCTCAGTGTAAGACCTGAGTTACGGTATAGAAGCACATTAATGTTAAAATATGTTTGTACCTTGGAAGATACAAACTGTAAAACGACGTAGAGTCATTCTGACTGTAACTAAACGCCTTCTAAATTTGTTTCTTATACGATAACGTTGCTGTGAACCATTTGGATTACATTTCTGTTTTGCCTCATTTTGTTCCCACTGCTAAGTAGGTCAGGTGGAAAGATTAGCAAAGTTTAAAATCCAAGCTGAGAGTCCACCGAGTCGTAAAGATTTGCTGTTCGCTGGCGGATCGCTACCGGTTGATTTTGTAACGAAGAGCAATGATACTTTCTGGATTTCTCGATAGAAATATCTAGGGAAAGGTGCTCGGGTCCTCAAACGACTAGGCCGTATTTCTCAATAATCATTGATATGACGGCTTTTTCTAGGATCAATTTCATCATAATCCGCCTGCGAACGTACACACTATGTGAGATGCAAAACAGTAAGTTCAACATGGTAACGGTTGATAGTGATGAAAACCGCTTGAACGCTAGCTGCTTAGAACAATATGCGATTCTCGAAAGTAAATCTAGAGGTGAAAATGCTTGGTAAAAACTGCTAAGCCGCTATATCTGTCCACTTGGCCTTTCTTAGAATATTTATAATCAATAGAAAAATTAAATACGTGTAAAAATATTCCGCTGTTTAAGCCGCTGAAAAACAGATGAGAAGGGACTTTTCGTGAGCAAACTTTTTGAAACCGCGAGCTGCCCAGCCATGATATTTATGCATACATATTGCCCTTTGGTAATTTAACCAAAATATGTGCCCTGCTCACCCATTTGTCGGATGCCGCCATCTTACTGTTCACACTGTGGACGAGCCTGTGTGTTTCTTTATGCGTGTGTTCAAACTCAGGGCAAATTTTTCCCCTTATGAAAGTCCGTCGACTCTCCACCTCCTTTGTCCGCTGTCTATCGTTGTCGGTTTACTTCAGCCAGTCAGTCGTCCGCTTGAACGGCTGTTGGTAGTTCTTGCAGGAGGTTGGCACCTTACTGGCTTAGTAACATAGACACGACGGCGACGGCCATCGCGCGCCCTGGCACACGCTAGAGGAAGCGGTCGCCTGTGCCACCAGCAACGCTTCTACTGCTGGCGTCAAGCTGAGAGTCTATCGGCTACAGCAGCAGCATAGACGAGTGGCTTTCCGGCCTATGCTTTGGCTTTGAGCGGCTGTAACGGCAGCGGTGGCGGCTTGAACCTGCTGAAATTATCATACTAATTGCGACTCGCAGCAAGTGGAGCGTGACTAAGCCACATTGTTTCCCTGCCATTCGTGTGAGCCGTGAGGATCTCCCAGCAGCTCTTGAAAGCTGCAGTGGAAGCTTTCGAGAGCAAGTTTTCGGTCCACCGACTTAACGAGTTATCTTTTCTCGGTGTATTTTTCTTCGCGAATTTTTTAGTTGCTCTGTTGTGTTACCACTATGGTACCCCGCTCTCTTTCTCAACACTTCGGCGCGCTTTTTCGTTCGTTATTTCGTGTGAAGCTCGGAATTTGTTCGTGGGCAGCAGCAGAAAGTCGAAGGTATTTTTAACGAATGAAAACTTGGGCAAAAAAAGACGATAGGATTACCGTTGCTTCCCATTCAAATTCACGGCTTAGCCCTAGAAAATATAACGATTAACCGAAACAGTGGTAGCCACGATTGCATTAGTACAATTGCTCATGGGCCGATCTAGGCCAGCTACTACACATTAATTGTGGATATATCAATAGAATATGTTTGAAGACCAAATGGCATAAAGTATTACACCATCTGTGCAAAACCGTGAACTTCAGATTTTGTTATTTACATTGTGCACCGAAGTATTCCAGTGTTATTGCATGGACAATGTTCATCTGTAATTAAGTATTTCAAGACACGGACATCGGTAAGGTCCACATATGCTCGTTTAGATTATCCAAAAATACAGATAATTTAAGCTGATCATAACTGTTCAAAATAGGTTTTGTCTTATGTCAAATTATATACCTGCCAGGTAGTTTTTATACCATTATGTGACGTATGAGTTTAATTTAAAGGTACATTAAAAGCGGTTGCCATTATAAAGATAACCGTACAAGAAGTTCCTGTCTCTGATATACCTTCGATATCTACGCAGAACTACGCAGAAATACGGGAACGAGAGAAATTATACAATCTCTAACTTCCTATAGCTGACTTCAAGAGAAGAGATTTTGATTACCATTATTTTCTGCGTTGTGCATTACGTTATATACAGAGCTACCATCTTCGGTAAATAATTGCGTGTCTCCTTAATGCGGTTAAGTAATTTTTTGCCTTGCATTTATATATAACTGTTTAGAACTGTGTTTACTCAATCGGCTTATATGTAGTACTCTATGTGGTTAGCAAATTTTACTTTAGCTAAATGAGCAGGTTCGGAGGTTGCACGTCAACGTGTTGATGCTATCAACGAATATAGTCAATTTCAATACCTTCTACAAGTCGACGTAAACTTTTTAGCAGTCTCTGACCATCTAATTTTTGCCATGCTGCTCGTTATCTAATTCTATGACTATCACTGTGTAAGATCGCACGAAATGAGTGTCTAGTCACAAAGGAGTACCCGCTGAAATTAGACGACCAACTTCAACTAATGACACCGCAAAGAGGCAATTCTGGTTGTGGTGGACAAAAACGGCTGTGGCCTTTAGATACTGCTACGCTGCTTAGGACTTGGCCGTGCAGGAGCTTTGAGTTAGTTGCGTTGGAATGCTCGATGTTGATCAGCAAAGGAACAGGCCCAAAAAAGAACTAATCAGGGGCAAGGCTGGCTATAGCGGTCAGAAGGAAAGGTAAGAAAGTGAGGGCTCTCGTTAGGCTGTGTTAACGCTCTCGCTAGCCCGAAGGCCCTAGTGGCTGGATTGCAAGCAGGTCGGACGCTAGTGACCAGAGTGGATTGAAAAGGCGATTATCCTTTTTTCTCTTATTATTGCTACGACTAGCACGGCTGCTGCTGCCGCAACGGCCGCTAATTGTTATCCCAGTCACCTAGCTACCCGTCCAGTCCGCAAATAGAGCACACAGCAAATAGCAGCACGAACCATGGAACACTGTTGGCTCCCAGTAAAAGAAGGGAACACTGAAGACACCAGACGGCTAGAAGGGTGTCAAAGTGATGGGTTTTTTTTTGTTCGGTCTTTTGCCCTCCTTTGAACAGGCGCATAACAAAGAACTGAAGGAAGATACACAAACTCGAGTAGGCAAGAGTGCAAAGGGCAAAAGCTATTTAGAAGAGAACGGGAGCCGTGGTAGCACAACGATATCCGATACAATCATGCGTGCTTAGGTATTTGCAGTTAATGCAGTAAACAGGAGAGTATTCGTTAAGGGTAAATTTAACTATGCAACAATTGGTGTAGTAGACGACATTTTGACTTTTATTTTGTTGCATACAAAATGTGTATGTTCCTAACAATCAAGCAAGTTTATATTTACAGGTTCCTAAGAATGCACAATTGAAATATGAAAAATACACAATAATGAAACGGGCTTTTAAATAAGGAGAAAGCAGAAAAACGGAAATTGTTTACCTCCTAACCGAAGGCTTACGTCTTATTTAGCTTCGCCCTACGCTCTGCTTAATTAACATTACCGATGTTTTTGTACCATTACAAATAAAAACGTGTATATATAACCCTAACTTCTATTAGTTTTTTGTGAACTGTTTACCTAACTTCTTGCTATTAGTTTCACGTTATTACTCTACAGACATTTAGTAAGTTAAGCTGAGAGTGACGTGAGACTGAACTTGTATCACGTACAAAAACTAAGCGTCAGATAGGTACCCGACGACGAGAAGAAATTGAAATGCCTGAAAGATGAGCAAAAGTTGTGAAGAAGTTTTCGTAGCAACGTAATAAGCCGCATTCTTTTTTCTTGGACAGCTTAGTAAGCGGTCGGCTATTACACGTCGTGCTTCATATCCGAGAACGTCATTGTTCATTATAACCGTACAACAAAATGATATTAACTCTTGTATTCGTAAATTTTCAGAAATTCAGGCTACGCCGACTAAGCACATAATGAATGCTTCTCCATATTGATTCAAAAAACTGAGGCCGCTGAGATGGAATACAGATTAGTTAGAGCTGGCTTGCTAGGAGCCATTTTGATTATACAACGATAAAGATTTTATAGTGTCCTCGTGGTATTAAACGTACTTGCGTGTACTTATTTATTTGACTGTCAGTACATTTTGAAGGTTTATTTCTGACTTCTTATTACTTAGGTGGTTATATTTTTATTTATTATTTCGAGTTATTGTACTAAGGTACGATACGTTACATTATTTCTTGTGATGCAGTCCTACATCAGTGAATTCGGACAATCTTGCAAACTGCAAAATGGACATCCTTTATACATGGATATACATAAGGGAAGTCTTGAAAATGCTAGTGTCCAATCATTCTCGGTAAGCAAGCTTGGCAATTTTTGGCAAACTTTTGCGCTAGAAGCCTCATTCCTGCGAAATTAAGGTTTTTCCGGATAATTTTGAAAAGTGCAAAATTTATTTCGATCTCTGTCGTGATGTTTCGACCTGATAGGAAGAGTCTACCCGGTAAACCTCATGCGTGGAAAGGTCGTTTTCATATGCGATGATATATAAACGAGTACTTCGAGGATTTAAATTGCACGCGCTAACAAATAGTGCTGTCGAGTTACGTGTATTTGTTCTATATCGCTTTCAATATGCTTGTACCATAAAGCGCCACGTAGTGGCGAGTCAATGTATTTAAAAAACTGAATTTGCCCTTCTTTTTTTAAACTACCCTGAATTGTATAAGCTTGATCTTTACCCACAACATTTGTTACTAGCTTGAATTAAGGTTTCAAGCTTTACATCTAGTACCATAGATATTATTGCAATGCGCGTCTACGTCCAAGCTCAAACCTTGATAAACTCACAAATAGGCTCTAGGTTCAGTATGCAAACCTCTTACCTCTGCACTATCACGGGAACTACCATAGCCTGTATATAGCTTGACATAGATCAATGCGTCTTGTGAATACAATTACTCACTAAGCAAAAATATATTTTTACATTGTGTAAACTATCTGCGGTAAGGCATAGGCCTACCGCCTAGGCACACGACAGTGTGCATACCATACCTTGGAACTAATGGGCTCACCTTAAAACATAAGCAAACACGTGCCGAGTATCAGTAGACGGTTGGCCGTCGGATCCGTAATTGTGTTACTAAAATATCGTAAATCAGTATTGCCCAGGGTGCTTCTCGAAGTAGGATCGAAAGTGTATCAAGGAAGCATCAACAGGAACTGTCCAGGTTCTTCTAGTAAATACCCTAGTACACTCTATTATTAACTGACCAATGGTAGAAATCACAATGTGCTGCTGCGGTCAATACTACAATTATGTTTAGATACTTCGAAAACCGACTAGTTGTTATAATAAATGACCCCAACTGGTCCTACAGTACAATTACAGAATGGCTGAATGTAAAATCTTGTAAAGCGAGCAAAATTTTCTTCATGATAGAGGCGAAACCTAGTCGCATTGCATTTATAAAGCTCCTATGCTTGCGGTAAAAAAGATATTGCCTCATTACCACACATTTAGAAGAATCGTCATATGTGCTTCTTATACTTCGGCGACCACTTATGGTAAAGTGTCACTCCCGTCGAGATGATTGCGCACTTTTCCCGCATTACGGATACATGTACGTTGACATCTCGTACGATATCATAAGCGAAACGAACAGTCAAGTCGCATATCTGGGAAAAGCTATATTATCGAGTATCCGAAACTCGTGGGCTTCCAAACTCAAAACGCAGCCGTTATATGGTCATTGGCTAGATAATATGTGCATTTAAATGTTGTCTAGAGTATACCCTATCAGAAACGCCTCCTCCCGAAGGTAGTTTTCGTTCTTAATGAGTAAGATACATCTGTAGTCGTTTGTAACTGGTATCTACCATTTGGCTTATTCTCACAATGGTGTTGTATTCACTGGGCATTTTTCCGTAATCTCCTTTTCGTAATTTTCCAAGGACGCATGGTTTCCGCTCATTCTGTGCCCCACGCTTACGCCAGTAGTCAAGCGTATTCAATGGCTAGCCGAGGTAAAAAGAGGGGACATGCCATCGGCAGCCGTCGCCTTAGCGGCAAAAAGAAGTATAAAAGAAAAAGACGACGAAAAAGGAAAAGAACTAGAAGAACGCTAGCAGCAACAGTTACGATGGAAGAAATAGCGAAGATATGTAGTAGAATGATGAAGCGAAAAATCGGATGAAGAAAAGGCACCCTGGAGTTTCATCAGGCAGTCTCCGTCTGCATCTTCTGTGGTGTCCGTTGTCCACCATTGACAATCGCTCATCGAAGACTGTACACGACATTTCGCGACAAGAACAAGCAACTCACGCAGGAGTTTGCTCCACCCGACTTTCTCTTTTTTTCTCACTCGAGAACGGCGCATGTCCGTCAGCTTTCCGCTGTCAGCCGTACGATGGTCGTGGTTTGAATGCGGCACCAGCTTCCGCTGCCGTTGGCGCCATCAAATTAAAGTATATACCTCCCATAGTAGCTTTCCTGAAGTTGTGTACGCTGTGATGTTATGTGGAACTCCACCCTCCAACAAAATTCCCTCTGGTATGCCCCATCTACCCCTTGCTCCAACAACCCGGCTGGTTGGTCCTCTGGTTTCTCGCGTGTCACAATATGTGGACTCGTGTGTCTGTGCGTGTGAGTAAAGTGAGAAGGGGTCTACAGATACGGAGGCTTGGTGGTCGGGCAACGACAGACTGAAAAGCCTCCGCGGGACTCCTTTTCTTGGCAAAATGGCGCATGGCAGTGGGATGGTCTGCGTGCTTTCTATCTCCCATACTGCGTTGTTGCGCTCTCGGCAG